GGTGGAAATGACCGGTGTAACCTGTAAAATGAACAACAAGTTAGTCAGCTGCACTTGGAAAAGAAATCAATCATTCAATCTCTTCTTCAATCTTTTTTTCAATCTTTTTCCTGCCTCTTCACCACGACTCATTAACACTGTGAACTAGACTTAAAACTTAACACGCCAGATGAGACTGAATGAAAAAGACGGCATGAAATTGCTTGAAGAAAGGGGGCTTTCGGAACGATGTAAGGTACACCCGGTCTTGTTTTGTTGAGCGATCTCTCGTGACCCGCAGAAGTAAACCACCGGCTATTTTCCCGCCACCTGCATGTGGAAGGCCCGTATGTCAGCTATCACTGGTTTTGTTCGAGCGCTCGATATTTGCACTGATCTCATAGAAAATTACGGAAAGCGTTGCGTAACGCCTTTATAAATTGGAAAGACTGGGTCTAATTAAGATCCACAGACGCGAAAAAAATGGCAGCGAAACGTATGAAGAATGATCGAGGCCGGATCGAATTCGCGGAACAAATGTGTACGACGTATAGCCACTCTACACTTAAGAAAATTATCGCTCAAAGCGATGTTCATCTTGCGAGAATCGACAAACCCCTTCTTGTGTTTAAAGTATTTTATTTCTTCCTCTTTGGATCAATCGCCACGGCCTTCCCGTTTTTACCTTCGTATTTTGGACAGATTGGTTTCTCATCGTCTCAAATCCAAGCTCTTGCTTGGGTAAGACCGGTCGTGCGACTTTTGTCCAGTCCAGTTTGGGGAATTTTGGCGGACCGCTGCTTGCCCAAGAAAATGATGCTTCAGTTTTGCACATTCGTCTGGCTCATAGGGACTATTTCATTAGCTTTTGTCGAGCCCACTAGTCAGATGTGCCAACTTATTTCCCTCAACGACACAGATTTGAAAGTTATCAATTCTACAGAGATGCAAACCGGATTTTTTCGGCGGAGAAGAACGGCTGATTTCTTCAATATACAGTCAAAGCTGATTCCTAAAGTACACAAAGTAAATTTGACTTCTGGTGGCTCAGAGAGTGTGGACGTTTCGTTCGGGTCGGGCACAGACACTGCAGCAGTGTCACAGGAAAACGAAGCATCTGGAAGTGGACTTATTATCGATTCTTTGCATCCCAACAAAAGAATGGACGAACTTAATAATACTGATACAAATAAGACTCACGACTTCATAAAAATTTTATCTCCCCATCATAAATCAAGCTCTAATGACACGCCCAATCCCAACGAGTTTAACTTCACCATACGAAACGAACTCAGAGAAAATACCTCTAGGTTATATCAAATATTTCTTGGGGCCATAGCGATCGTCGTGTTTGAAGAGATCTTCATGTGCCCAGTGATGTTTGTTGCTGACGCAGTTTTACTGGCCAAACAGACGGAAGAGGGTTCTCTTGTTGTATATGGATATCAACGGGTTTTTGGCTCTATCGGCTTTCTGATATTCTTTTTAATCACTGGATCTTTAGTGAATGATTCATTTCGCCCGGTCTGTGGACATATGTATGCAGACTATGTCATCAACTTCTGCTTTTACTGTGTTTTAACAATAATTACGTTGTTGGTGTTGATCAAGTTCGAAGGACCATCAAGACGTCCAGAGGGTTTTCCGTACGAGACGCTTAAAACTATTTTTCACAACAAACACTACGGATCTTTCTTTGCTTCTGTGGCGTTTTTGGGTTTTTCACATATCGTGATTTCGAATTTTCATACCACATATCTCATGGAAAGTAATACTGGACACTCGTCATCTGCTACAATAAATGCCTTCCGTCTGCTAGGCGAGCCATTAGCCTTCTTTGTCAGCCATAAACTAATAGCACATATCGGGGATATAAACATGATGTTCGCTTCACTCGCATTGAACATGTTTAATCATTTCGCGTGCTCATTTGTCACCAGTCCCTGGCATGTGATTCCACTCGGCTTCCTTGAAGGCTTCACCTTTGGATGTTCGTTTTTGGCATGCGTCACTTATCTGGCGAAATCATCTCCGGTTGATTATATCACAACTGTACAAGGTAATGAGCTTTGCCCTTATGGCAATTAATATGTTTTTTTTTTAGAGATAAAAGAGATATCAGAGCTCTTTACCACAGCCTTAATGAAACATTTTAGGTCTTTGCAGCACAAATGCTCCTAAATGGTCTTGGTACCGACAATAGGAAGGATCCTTTCGCCAATTTCTTTAACAATAATCTCTTTACCAGTTGTTTGTAACTGTTTGGTATATTGGTCAGTTGTTAGATTTTCGTTATAAAATCTAGTTTGTGCGTTCTTTGTTATTTTCTTCACAAACCTCGATCAGGTTTTGTGATAACACTTATGCCAAAGGCAATGTACACGTTAGCCTCGTACGATCGACG